GCGCGCGCTGCTTTTCCCACTGCCATGCCCGCTGCTGTACCGCTGAGGCCGACGGGGTGCTGTTATCTTGCTGTATGGAGATGGCAGCACCGGGATTTGCGACTTCTCGTCACTGAGGTTAATGCCGCTGTCATTGCCGCTGTCTGAATCGGTGGAGCCTCGGAAGTGGCCGACCTTGGCAGAGCCGCCCGACACCAGCTCGTTCACACGGCTGTTGGCCGCCCTCATGGCCTGCTTGGTCCCCATGATGGTCCCTCGGCCAGGTTTGCTGCTGAAGGACTGCATGGAGCGGGGGGCCGCCTTTCCGCCAGAGGCCACACCCGAGCCCTTCCCTGTGGGTTGCGCCAGGGACTTCACAGAGGAACTGAGAGACTTGGACCCACTGGCAGAGAGGCCCCGGTTTTTGTTCCCATTTGCTTGCACCTTCTGGTTAGCTGTGGGTTTTGCCTGGCTGTTTTTACCAGATGCAGTGGCAGTGAAGGTAGGTGGTAAAACCACACCAGAGGGAACAGGAGGGACTCCCAGCCTGGGGACGGAGCGCCCTGCCCGGCTGCCGCTGGTGCTCCCATTCTCCCTCGATACGCTTGCTTTGGATCCAACTGACGTCAGGCTATCGCATCTCTCCAGGGACATGTGACTCCCATAACGGTGCATGGCTTCACTCTTTGACACCTTCGCCTTTAAGCTGGACGTCATCTTGGGCAAAGAGTGGTCACCCTTCAGGTTCATTTTGCTGCTGGAACTTTCACTGAAATAAGACCCAGCTTTCAAACGCAAATCTGCTTCATCTTCAGCCTTCAGTGTGGCAGCTCTGGTAAAGTCCAGGCCAGTGGTTTTTCCCCCACCATTACCCAAACCAACAGGTTTCTGCTCCAGGCTCGATTTGCGTACAGGGGGTGTTGGAGGTGTTGGTCCGCCTGGCCTGGGCAACATGGTTGACTTCTGTGGTGCACTCTTCTTTCCTAGCGACAATTTTAAGCTGCCAGTGGCCAAGTGAGCATCTGAATTCCCTCGGGTCATGGCCTCTGACACACTACTGTTAGCATGCGACACTGGCATCACTCCCAGTGTGGTGGCTCCTCTCTTCAGCTGTGGCATCTTCACCACGTCTGACTTCTTCGCAGCTACACTGGAGGATTTGCAGGCCATTTCACAACCATCCACAACTCTCTGTGAACACGTAAGCATAGTCTGTGACTTTGTTGGTGTGGATGCTGCATCAAAACACTGGCCAGCTTTTTCTGGCTGCTTCTCAGTACCAAATGTCTGAGATTTTGGAGACAGCAGTGAGTCTGCAGGTTTTGCTTCCAACTGATAATCAGTGCGCAACAGCCAGGGATCTTCAAACATACCATGTGGATTCTGTAGCTCTTTATAGCTGAGGACACTATTATTGTGGATTGGAGACGAGGTAGTTTTTGTTTTCCTAGGAAGACTAGAATGTATTGTTTCTATTACAGGTGCATCACAAGAATTACTAAATTTTATTTTTACGGGCTGATCAGTGACACAAAAAGCACTTTTTATCTGAGATGCTTTGGTAGTTTCAGAGGTTTGGGGGCTTTTGCTGATGCTTGAGGACACCTTGCTGGAACTCAAGCTCTCACTCTCCAGTTCAGAGAAGCAAAACCCACTGTCATTCAGAGCGCTTTTCAGAGGGACAGATAAATGGGATGAATCCAAGCTGAAGGGTTCCTCGGACTTATTACAGCTGTACGACGACTGTGCAACAAAACTGTCACTAGACTGGGCTCCATCACTTTCAATTGTACAAATGCTGACTTCACTAAGCCACGAACTGATGGAGGAACGTCTGCTGCTGGTAAAGGGATCCTTAGCAAAGGGCACAACAATATCAATATTTACACCAGTAGAAGTCTCTTGTGAGGTATAAGCATCAAACTCATCATTTATGCTGCTGATAATACTGACTGGCCTCGAACCCGATGCAAGGGCCTGAAGGGAGCAGTCACTGTTAAAGCTAATGATACTGGAAGGTCTTCCATTATCCATAATCCCGCTAATGGACAGTTCTTCCACCACAGTGAAAACAAGCTCATCCTCTCCATTCAGCTCAACAGGCTGCTGCAAAGTCACTGTGGTAGTTAGTATATCCCGATCAAAACACTTCCCTCTGAACGCTGACCTGAAGCTGTGTACCTCTATCGCACCTGACTGATTCTGGGCGTTGTTACCAACCAGGAACGTGCTTCCTACGGGATTTTGCTCAGGTTTGTTTCCCACCTGTTTGCTCATTCCCACAGGAGGAGTCCGAACTGCATTACTATTGTCCAGTTCCAAATTCTCAGCTTTAGAGCTCAGTACATGCTCTTTCTGCTGTGGAGGTGGAGGTGCTGGACTTGGCAAGGGTCTCTTCATGTACAAGGACTTTTCCTTACCGACACATTCAGCTGCAGCCTTATTCTGGTCCTGATTCCTTAAAGGGCTACATCTTGAGGACTGGAGGGAATTTGTGATTGTCTCTCTCTCTTCCTCCAGTATCAAGTCTATTATTTTGTTGTCAGCTCTGCTCTGCAGCTTGGAAAGTTCTGTTTTCAAATGAGGTGTGCTCTTTTCATGACAACTGCCATTGCTGCCCTTTGGTGCAACAGACTGGAAAGGAAGGTTATGTCCTTTTTGGGGAGATGCAGTTTCTCGTGGAACCAGTTTCTTAAATCCTGCAGAAGGAGAAGACACTTTTTCCTTTACCAGCTTAGACTGTCCATTTTCTGTACCTCCAGAGACTGAACTACAATTGGACACAGCAGAGATTTCTCCACAAGCAAATTTGATGGGTTCCTCACTTCCATCAATGCACTCTAACCTTTCTTGCAGTTCAGCAAAAGTGTTGCATTTAAAATGGTCCTTATCAGAACTCCTACCAAGAGCAGAATTATCTTTACTTCTCTTCTTGTTTAAGGATGGGATTATGGGAACAAACTCTGGAGGACCTTCATTATCTGTCAATTCCCTGTCAGACAAAGCTGCCCCATTGGGACCAACATAGATGACAGTATCACAAGACTGTTCACTGCTGGAAGAATAATCAGGATCACTAGATATACTCAGGATCGGAAGGTCAGGGTCAAGGGCAACAGTTCGTGGGTGGAATGGTCGCAAATGGGGAGGTCTTCGGACATGTCCTTCTTCACACGAACTCTCTCCTCCAGACGAGCTGGATGCATACTGCAAATGATCAGCAAGTAAAAAGATATTAATTGATATATAATTATATATACATATAATTGATTAAAAAGTCAGGTTTGCTATATGCTCTGTGCTTTGTGTTTACTATCACAATTGCATCTAGTGGAAAAATGTCAGTGTGAATTAAAATAACAAGGTCATGCTACATAGATTTTACTGTATCAGGAGCAATATAACAATTACATCATTTTAGATAATTTCCACTAAATATTATGCATTCTTTTTCTCCTCAACAGTTTTCAGTTCCTTCCTTATGGGTTTTTAACTAATACAAATAGGAGCTTTTGAGATAGTTCCACGTATAAGCAAAGAAAGAATACGTGTTTGGAACAAAAAGAAGGGAATTTTAGGATTAAGGATTGGGGGTGGAATGATGGCTCAGTGCCAAGTCATTTGCCAGTTCCTCTCCTGAGCTTTTATGCATTTTGTATTACTTCTTACCGCCGAGAAATCCCATGTTCCCCCACCGAGAGGTTAGGAAAACTCATTTTCAAGTGAATTAATTTCTGCTTTTTTGCGAACCAACCTTGGATTTCTTCTTTCTCATTCGGTGGATTCGTGATGCAAGCTGAATGGTGGTGAGAGTTTCTGCATAATTGGCTGGGGAGTCAGAAATATGTGCAATCATAGTAGTTCTGCAGTTGATGTTCCCAAGTGATTCCCTCAACAACATTGTCAACTTGTTGTCCCTGTGTAACAAATGAGAACACTAGGCTGGTTTAAAGAAATCACAATCTTTTCTTCGCAGATTTTTACACCACAGGCTGTGCTTTCACTCTCATTGGATATATGCATGTATGGTACATGTAGATAAGAAATATACTCCTATTATTCGACCACATTTAAAATGTGTCTAAATGTACACATACAAAGACACCAACATTTAAATTATTTATCTGTTTGTGTACTTGCAGTATGATAAGCCATTTTATTTGTGTCACTTAGGCAATTGATAACTAGTTTAGTTATTCCAGGTTTAGCTCCTATTGCCCAAAAGGCTCATGAGAACTGTACTTTTAGCTGAGCAGACTTAGCACCTGGACAGCTAAGCTCTCTGAGATCTATGCAAACAATTTTGCTAATAAGAAAAAAAATGTCAACAGAAACGTTAAGAAATCTATATAGAAATATAACAATGCTAGATATCAGAAACACATAATCACTGTCACCCCAAATAATCTAGTTTCCATTCTGCCTGTTGTGCTCTGACATAGCAAACGGGAAGGAGAATTTCTTCTGAAGGCCTTCCTGGTGACGCGAGTCCTCCGTCACAGACAGCGAAGGTGACAAGACAGGTGATATTTTGTCTTCCACTGGTCTCTTAAGACATCTTTCCTCAGGTCTCCTGGAAGTCTGCTTCCTATTGCCCCCCAAAGCTGGCCCAACATGTGGGAACTATCATCATGTTTGCTCACTAAACCACAGTAGGTGGTACTCCATCCACAAACCTAGCAACTAGCCTGAGGAAATTATCTTTCTGCCTAACACAGAAATAAAGAACACCTGTTTGAGATGCAGCAGTAGATAAATATGTGAAATGACATGATTGATAACAACGGCACAGAGTTATAACGCATGAAGACAAGCAGCAATTAAATTTAAGTACTGAAGACCAAGTTCTGGTAAGGGTGTTTACAATGTGGCTGTTGTCTTTTAAGCTGAGGTCCTCACAGGTGTTCTTGACATAATATTATTGTGACGTACACTGCATAAAGGAACACAGCTAAACGTTTGCTTCTGCTAAACAAATGTGCAACATGGTGGTCTTTTTTCTTAACTGAAAAGATGTATCATTCAAAAAGGCATATGGAAATAACAACCTCTGATGACTGTACTTGATAAAATCTCCAGTATTTTCTGAAATTCCAATACAATTTTTAAATTTTGAAAAAAGAGAGAAAATTTGATGAAATTTTAATGAAACTTATGTCCAGCTCGCTGAGATTGGTCTAAATTCTAAACTTGGGAAACAAAGAGGAGATAGAAGGAAAGAAAAATTCTGGCCATTTTCCTCAGCTTTTTTCAGCAATCAAATCCTCCTCAACATTTCACCCAACTTACGTATATACCACTACGCACATAATTTTTGGCCATGTAATTTAAGAATTTCATATTGCTGTGTGACATTTAAAAAGTTGCGGGTATGTATGCACACGTATAGACAAGGGAGTGACCAGATATATAGCCCTATAACATAGAAGTGACTTTAGAAGACAGACTTCCCTCTGACAGATCTTCCTTTAACTTCTTAAGTAAAACATAAATTGTTGATTCAATTCATTGCTAAGGTAACACCAGCCACAAATTTCAGATCATGCAGACAGTAATTCACTTACTTATATGGCACATGCTTAGCACCATTAATTAAGGCCAAAATTACATTGCCCAGGGCAGAGAGAGACAGACAAAGAGAACCTCCTCCATCTCGGCTCTTGCTCAGCACTTTTTCACAGCTCCCTAAATCAATGAGATGTAAACGGCTGCGTCCTCCAGACACTAAAACAAAAAGGGGAAAAGCAGTTGTATATCATGCTCTTGAATGAACTCAAGCCAAATCTGGCATTCAGAATGTATTCAGATAAGGAAAATAATAAATACAGCATGGGATAATGACCAAACTAAATATTAATAATAAGGAAATTAGATATTAGCCACAGCTACCAAAGTTGACTTGACTGGTTTGAGGTTTCACTTAGGTTTTTTTTGTTTTGAAGTTTATTGCAGATTATTGTTTAAAGTAACCTCAAACCACGTGATTTAAAAATAACCAATATGACAAGAAGATTCATACTTCCTCCTTTGCCACTCTTCTCCATGCGATACTGGTATATGTGAAGAGTAAAGAGCATATGCGAATTCCTCCTGTCTTCTTCCTCGCATTCAGGTTTACTGGTACTTCTGGCAGCAATTGCAGCATCAAGGAAAAAGGCAGCTTTCTCTGCTGTTGGCGCCCTTAGCTCACTTTGGTTTTGAAGCTTGAATATAAACAAGGAAATGACTAATTAGCACAGGGGCATTTTTTTTATTATTTCTTTTGCTGAACTGGCTAAATCTCTAGGGCACTAAAAGAAACAAATATGTACACCATGGGAGAAGGGCTTATAAATTAAAAGCAATGATTTTTTTTTTACCATCTTAAAAGTTGTCATAATTGTTGTCAGATAAAAGGAAATAAAAAGCAGAAGAAAGTCAGGCTCAGAAAAATCTATGTTGTGATATCCTTTATACCTGGGTTCCACATATTGGATCTTCTCTCAGATAAACCCCAGGAGACTGGCCATCCTGAAGGCTGCCAGTGGCTACTTCAGCTAACAAATCCTTAAGATTTTCATCTTTGCCACTGATCTCCACAGCAGATACTCTAATAGAGAAACGAGTCCCGGTTTTTTCTTTACGTTCATTGATTAATTTGAAGAGCCAAGAAATTGCACAGGGGATGATACCAAGGCTTTGTGTGGAGTTATCTTTCCCAATCATGGTAAAAGATTTTCCTAGAATGAAAAGAGAAGTATGAACTTAATTCACCTTTCTCGTACAAGACACAGCGTCTCTTTGGACCACCACTATACATTACATGCAATGCCACGTGCTTTACAGATAATGGGGAAGAACAGATGCAAAAATGCAAAGTAATTAATTATTAGTCCATTACTATTTATTCAATTAGTTTTGCAATTTTTCTAAGTCCGACCCTCAGCAAATTAATGTTAAAAACATCTCTGATCTTTTGATTTTCATCACTTGCTCTTGAATAAGCTAATCTGATGTTACATTTTACCTTTTCAAATTAAAACTTACAATCCCAGTGTAGAAATAAACCATGGTAAGTTTGCAAAGCTAATTAAAAAGAAATTCTAATCTATTCATATACTCCAGGTTTATTGTTCCAGGAGCTGACAGCATGTAATTACCAGACTGACATAGTAATTAACTGTAACGAATTTGGGAGCTTACCAAGTTTGACATGACCAAAGCAAAATATGCAACCATCTGCACCATTCACAACAGACTGAATTACTTCTGCTACTGTTCCAGAGCATACCTCAGCCTGAAAGAAAGATTGGAGACAAATAAGTTAAAGCGCATATACTGCTGTGTTTTTTTACTATTCTTCTGTAATGAAATGAATGACTCAATATTTCTGAGGTGCAATAGTCTTCCTGTTTTTATGGCATCAGTCCTATTATTTTAGTAACCATGCTATCTTCAAAAATAATAAAATATGCTACTACAGTCTAAAATAGTTCTCAATTCTATTAAACCAATTTTCTTGGAATATTGATTCTATGACTAATGTAGAAAACTGAATGCTATCCAACCGGGCTTCCTGCTGGTATAATAGCTTAGCCAAGGCTGTTCAGCAATAGTAGCAACTCCACTGAAATTAAGGCACTCAGAAGTGCTCACAGGAATTAGAAAGCCATCCGTACTGAAGAAAATGCATTAAGATCCCTGAATAAGATTTCACATTTTCACATTTTCCTCTTCCAGGGGAAACATCATCAGCAATAAAGAGAACTTGCTAAAATATTTCAGTGTACTAAAACTAGTTTATCCACATCAGTGAAGGTTTCAAATATACAATAATATGATCTATTAAGGATGGCAACTGCATGCAGCGGGGATAGTTGGTGTAAAGGTGTAACTACAGTGAAATAATAAGGCTCCATCTGCAGGCACGGCAGCAAGCTTGCCTTGAGGAATGACACCTGCACAGTAGTGACTGCACTGGCCAACGTCCCCCAGAAGCACCACAAGCAGGCCACCCAACAGGCTCAATCACAGGGGCCTGACAGAGTCCAGCTCCAACCAAGGGTCAACAACCTGAAGGACTGGTGCCAAAACCAGCAGAGAAGCAGGCTGTGACTGGCTACATTGCAGGAGGGCTGGCAACACAAGTAGAAAAAGTCACTTCTAGTTCTGGACTAATTGTTGAGATCACTTGCATATTTCTGCAAAAAGACACTTTTTGAGCTTATGCAGGATCTTAAAAACAGACTAGTCACATAGTTAGCATTGCTTTTGGCATTGATGTGTCTGGGAGGTTGCTCTCCAGTGCTTGGCTAGAACTTGAACCTAATAAATATCTTCATGTCTCTAGTTTGGGTTCCCAAAAAATTAAAATCCTAGAAGAAGATGTGAGGGTGGGATGCTGAACTATATCTTGTTGTGTTTTCTCAGCATTAATATACTATTTTCACCTTGGAGGTTTTGTGATGTATTTTTCACCCTAATTATTTCCAGCAGTTCAAACCTGGACTAGTTCTTCAAACACTGCTGAACTCATTGTTCTTTTTAAAGCTGTTCTAGTGTTATTTTTTTCTGAAGATTTTTCGCAGAAGTAATTTTCAGGTATCCATGAGCACAATCTCACCAAATATACTACAGCTCAATCCACTCAAATACCAGCCACCCCATGTGTGTATTAGATTTCAGGTCTGGGGCTACTACTGTACAAATACACCCTTTGCAGGCCAAAAGAAAGGCAGGCACCACCATGAGTACAGCCATCAAGATAAAATAATCTGTCAAAAAACAGTATAAAGGAACTGGGAAAGGCAAAGAAAATATAAAAGCTCCTTAACTGTTTCAGTATAGCAATCCCATGGGGTTAGCTGTATTTCTTCTTCTAACAACAGCATTTAGTCTAACATTAAGCACATGTTCTTTTCCCATTGAAAGCAGTGGGGAAGGACTATTTCTGTGACTTCAAATGGAGTAAAACCTAACCAGATGGAAAAGGGAATTTCCAATTGGCTGTGTGTCTTTCTCTAACAAGAGAAAATGCAGGAAGATAATTTAGTCAGCAAATCCATCTCCCCAGCTATTATTCCTTAATTTTACATTTTGACTAAACTGAAAATGTAAGATTTTACCCACTTGTCTATTAAATATCGTGGTTTTTTCCAGGCATTAGAGCAACTCATTCAAATAAAATTCCCCAGAAACAGAAAGAACTCTTCAGGCAATCAAATACAGTGGTCATGAGAAGACTCAGGAGGTTTATGCGAGTAGCTCCAGTACCTGCGAAGCATCCTGGGGGAAAACTGCATCAAAGGCAAACATCTTTGGGACAGCAACAACACCTCTTCTGTGACCTGCATTGGAAGGCCCACTTGCTGCTGGATCATAAAATGTGATTTGCTTTTTTCTCGGGTCTACTTTTAGGAAGGACATGGATTCGGATGTCTCATGTGCTCCTTGAGAGGGACAAATCCTTACCATCACTTTCACCTGCAAGAATTCAGAAGAAAGTAATAATTTTGACTTCCCAGCTACAGATAAATGCACGCAAAGCATTCCTCCCAAACTCACTCCCCTTCCCATGACACGTTTATTTGTAGTATTTAGGTGTGTCAGAACAACCGTGGGACAAAACTAGAGCCAGATTTTCCAGCCTGGCTTCTACCTGCTTTTAAAGGTGCACTTTGTCCCTTCAGTTGACTCTGTTCCAGTTTTGCCATTTCAATTTATCAGTGCCTAATCTATAGGCATAATCCACTGTAGGTGTAATACCACACCTAAAGAAAAGGAAACTCTAGTCTCCTACCTTTCAAGTACTAAATGTGACCAAAAGCAGAAACCAATCCACTCTGAAAATCCGTCTGAATAACGCAGGGCTCAGACAACTCCTGCATTCAAACTGAACTACTTCTAGAAACTTTCAATTCCTTGTTCACATTCCTCTAATAAAAAAGTGCTTCTTTTATAGGTTTCCCAGGCAGACACCTTTATGCTGTCATTGCTAGGCTCTTTAGTGATTCAATAGGAAAGAAAGGAATTTAAAAAAAAACAAAAAAAAAAACAACGAAACAAACAAAAAAACCCCCCCACCTACACAATAAAAGGTTGAAAAGCTTGAACAGAAACCACTCAAAGTGCATGTCTATTGCAGCAATGCAAATGCCGATTTCCTACATATAGCATTTTAAGACAGCATTTTTACAGAGCTCAGACATGTTGGCTGTGATTTCCAAGGCAGCTTATGGGAGCCAAGTGACCGGGTCTCGGGAAAGTTCAGCAAAGGCTGCACACCTGCTTCTTTTAAGCTTCCTGGAAATCATATACTTACTTTGAAAAACTGTGAAATACTGCCTCACACCCACTTGCAACCATTTGTCCTTATGAAATGCTCCCAGGGTAGAACCAGGGTGTTTTGTACACCTTGCGCTGAAGTAAATGACTACTACATGCACAACCTCAACTTTGCACTGCCCAGAAGATCAAATTTAACAGAAAAGCAGTGCTCGGTCAGAGTGACTTTCCATGGCCATGAAATGTTTCAGTAACGAGCTGAACAGCAGTATCATCTGGAACAATTTACACTCCTACTCTCCAGAGCATCTGTCAAGAGCTTCAGCTTTTGCAACACAACTACTGACCCACAAAATACACTCTTGCATTTGCACTTGATTTGGAAAGGAAGTGACAGAGGGACATCCCTCTTCTGCAAATCTACCATGTGAACCCTCCAAACACAGAGCACGCAGTCATTTGCTGATCAGCTGGCATTCAGCACTGGTAAGGCTGCACCTTGAATAATGTGTTTGTTTGGACACCTCACTACAAGAAAGACACTGAGGTGCTGGATCGTGTCCAAAGAAGAGCAATAAAGCTCGTGAAGGGTCTAGAGAACAAGTCTTAGGAGGAGGGGCTGAGGTCTCTTCTCCCAAGTAACGAGAGATGGAACAAGTGGAAATGGCCTCAAGTTGCATCAGGAGAGGTTTAGATTGGATATTAGGAAAAATTTCTTCACCAGAAGGGTTGTCAAGCACTGGAACAGACTCACCAGGGAAGCTGTTGAATCACAATCCTCAGAGGTATTTAAAAGATCTGTAGATGTGGTGCTTGGGGGCATAGTAGAGGTGGATTTGACAGTGTTAGGTTGAACTCAATCATCTTAAAGGTCCTTTCCAATCTAAATGATTCTGAGTCAGTTCCGAGCTGGACATTGCATGAGGAAGCAGGGTTGGAAAGCGTGGATCTCTGATGCATGATTAGTGACGATTCTGAATAATGATACTCCTTTTCAGTAACTTCTTGTTGCTAAATTTAACCCTGAACCTGCCAGAGCAATGTGACTCCTACTTACTATGTTCCTAGAACATTACATCATTAAAAAAGTGGTGTGCACTTATTACACTGACACATTCTTTGCACATTTGCAAAAAAGGTGCACTTTACAGTCAGCAAAGAAGAATCCAAGCTGAAAACTACTTCAGCAGAGCACAACATGGGAAATGCAGGTAACAGAGACCAGAGCAGCCTGAGCCATCCTGTAGGACCAGTCCTCATACCAGACAAGATGAAAAATTAATTGCATATGTCCTGGTTTCAACTGGGATAGTTAGCTTTCTTCCTAGGAGTAGCCCAGTGCTGTGTTTTGGATTTTGGATGAGAATAATGTTGATTTTAGTTGTTGCTAAGTAGTGTTTATACTAAGTCAAGAGCTTTTCAGCTCCTCACAGCACCCCACCAGTAAGACGGTAGACAAGAAGCTGGGAGGAGACATAGACACCAATTGGCCACAGGGATATTCTGCACCATATAACATCATACTCAGTATATAATCTAGGGAGAAAGCTGGCTGGGAGCTGCTGCTCAGGAGCTGGCTGGGCATGTCTTTATCTACAGATTTTAATTTTTTTTCCCCCCTGATTCTCTCCCCATCCCATTGAGCGGGAGGGAGAAGGCAAACCTCAGAGGTGTTATAGTTAGTTGCCTGCCAGGTTAAACCATGACTGCATACACACCTGTACCCAATGGGCACAGCAAAGCATGTTGCCCAAGCCAGGAGGATCCACAGCAGCAATAAACACCATACTGAACTGTTCCCACCTTTATAAACTGGGGACAGTGGGTAATTTGAAGGTTTCATTTACATCCTCAACTGTTTCATTTTTCCAGCTTCTCCTTTCTGGGGCGGCTAAGCTGCACACAGACATCCCTGCACAATTACTCAAGCATCCTGACAGAAAATATTTTCCAAAAAGAGGCCATAAAAGCTTTTCCCCAACATTTTGTCCAAAGATGTTAAGAAACAACTGTCCCCTCCAGTAGACAGTGAAGGAGGCTTCACCAAAGGTAAGAGCAAATTCTTCCATATATTCACTCAAGCAGTCCCCTGATTGCAACACTTTGTTTTCTTTCCCCTTTCACAGTGACATGAATATGAAAATACAGTTACAGTAAATAAGTGACCCTTAGAAAAAATGAACCAGCCACTTCAAAAGCAAAGTGCATCAGAGGTGACACACCAAGGCTGCTTCACCATAAAAGCTCCATGAAGCCAGTTTTGTCTACTAGTCTGTTAGCTCAGCCTCAACATACTACACCAAGGTGCTCAGAAGAATAACATTCTCAGGGGAAAAAAAAAAAAAACAAAACAAACAACCCAAGCAAATAAGCAAACAAAACCAAAAAAAAAAACCCCAAACATATATATATATATATATATATATCACACACACCAAAGTACAAATGCCCACTTCAGGGTCATTTAATTAAAATGAATTTTAAAATATATGCTGTTTTCAAAGCACTTCTCGGAACAGCCATTTCTGTTCTCTCATCCACCTATTATTAGATTATAGCAGCCAGAGCATGGATAAGAGGAAAATTGGTTTGCTCCCTAAACAGCAAGGTACTTCCATCAGAGCATTGCTTCCCCTAACACAAAGATGGCTTCACCTCCAGAAAAACCTTCTGTGTCAAATCAGCTTTTTAAAACCACCTCTCTGAAGCAGAAAGATACTAAAATAGCTTCCCCATAATGGATCAGATCCCAAACTCAACAGGCCTCAGGGGTCATCTTCATTTTTACAGTGGAAGTGAGCTTTTAAGACAAATGGGAGGGGGAAGAGAAAAAGCAGCTTGAGGGAGTCGCTCTTTAGGGGTTTGTGTATAAAAGCTGATTTGTAGAGTAGAAAAACATTGATTTCAAATTCAGTTTCTCTGCCCACTAAATCCATCTGTAAGTGATGCCCACCAGAAACTGTAGGGTTATAATAACGTGTCACACTCATTCATGATGCTGAGCCAGACTCTGACTTCACTCAGAAGTGAAGCAGAAATGCTCATGAAAGTACCAATAAGCACAAAGATTACTCAAACATATCCCTTTGCAACAGCAAAAACTAAGTGCAGGCAGATCCCAGGTGCATGTGCACACTTCTAAATATGTAAAAGAAAGGCTTGCTATTATACTATTTATTCTTCTTCCTGCCCTCCTGTGTTTCAGGACCAATTTTAAGTGACAGGTTTATATTCTCAGCTCTGAAGTTCATCCCAGTACTCTCCTGGGATAAGTACAGCAGAAAAATCAGCGTACTATAAAGCCAGCATGGTTCCTGCCTTAAGGATCCACTTAACTGCATCTTCTCCTGGGTCTCTTTATCTAGTTCTCATACAAAAAGCCCGCTCACCTGTACATACAGCACCATGCATGGCAGGAAATCATCCAGACACAAGGGCTTACAGTGAGGGCAGAATTCAAACAAAACATAGGAATCTGTAAATCTTAAAGTAACTTTGGCCCCTAACTAGGGAGCAAAGCAGCAGTACCTGCACAGCACACCAATGCTTTTATTTGCCTATGAAAATTAATTCATAGAATTAAGTGCAATAACAGTTACAGCCCCACTCAGGATCACACCCTCTGTGGGCAGGCTGTTCAACAACTGGGCAGCTTTCTGCTGGTCATCTCCAGCTGTACCAGACACTGGTAACACTTACACAAAGCAAAGACACACGAGATAAGGAATTTAGAGGAGAATGAATGAAGAAATGGAAGAATAAAATAGGTCTGAAAGACTAAGAATAGGTCTGAGGGGAAAAAATAAAAAAAAAAAAAAGAGAGCAATAAGAAATGGCAAGAGTGGGCAGGTTGGGGGCGGATTGGGGAGAGGAAGAGAGAAGAGAGAACACAAAAAAAGGAAAGACAATACAAATACAGTAATTCCAGAAAAGTCATCTGAGACTCAGAGCACATCTGCCCTGATCACTTTTAGACTCCTTAAGTAGAACTAACATGGAACACCTATCCTGTCATAGCAGTGACTATTCCAGCTAGAACAGAGGCTTTTTAGTAAGGTGGGTTTTTTCCCTCTTTTTGTGTATTTCTTATTCAATGTCACAAAAAGATGCAGGGTAAGAAGTGGAAGTTTATCATTATCAAGCGTACAAAGATTTGTATATACACATTCATACAGATACTGAATATTGCACAGAGGCCC